ATTTCACAGGTTTTCCAGTCTGGGATGCAACATGTTGCTGGTATCCAATTCAAAATAGGCGTCTCGTTTTTTTTTCAAAAGGACATTTTGTAGTTTGAACATATGCTGTCTTTGTGCTTTTTTCAATCAAATATGAGGTTTCACTGTTTTCCAAATTTAGTTTTTATTTACATTTTACACAACACCCCAACTCTTTTGTTTGTAATTTATTATAATCAAATGTAATGTATAAGTAATGTGTGTAAGTAATGTGATGTAATATAATGTTATGTAACGCAGTACAACAAACAGCTGCTGACATCATGCAAACAGTCAGATCAATACTTTTAGATCTACAGGGCACAGGGTTTGTTATCCAGACTGAGAGAGAGAGAGAGAGAGAGAGAGAGAGAGAGAGAGAGAGAGAGGCGGACGTTTTAACAAAGACAAACACAGACTTTCAATGTCAGAAATCTTTCACCACAGAAGAAGGCTCTGTTGACTAAATGAGTCTCAAATCAAGCTTTCTAACTGTGGCAACCACACTTCTCTGTCACAACTTTTTCTTTTTTTGGATACTGTAGATAAACTAGTTAACGGGTAGATTATAAGGGAGTCTTCATCAGATTTTATAGAGTAGCTGATTACTTAATTGGGAACAACTGTTGTATATCAAGGTGATGTATATGTGAATCCTGATGATGGTCCTTTACTAATGCTGAGTTTTGGATTTTTTCTATGCATGTTTTTATTACCCACCTACTACTTTAGTAAATGGCATAAGTATTTAAAGATAGATAGTACTTTATCATAGCCCTGATGGTAGGCTAATTCACCCTCTTCTCATGATGGTAAAATCTATTTCTAATTTCTAATTTTTTTTGTTTTTGTCACTGCAAATGACCACAGCACTGTTATACTGTTCAATGATCATTTTATCATTTTTATTCTTCGTCCTTCAAGTGGAAACTGTTATTGTAACTTGAAAAATTTGGGTGACTTGCTAGTCAAACTTTTAAAAATTAATTCTGGGTATTTCGATGTTTGATTTATTTTTGGGCTTTTGAGATAGGACAATGGATAGAGTCAGAAATCAGGGAGAGAGAATAGGAGAGTAGGGAATGACATGCGGAAAGAAGCCACAGGCTGGATTTAAACCTGGGCCGCCCGCTTGGAAAACCATAGCCTCCATACATGGGGCGCGTGTACCAACCACTGCGGCACCAGCAAATATACAGTATTTAATTGATGCAAATCAAAGTGAAATATGTTCCAAATATAGACTTTAAATAGACTGTGAGTGTGTTTTTACATAAAATGTGTCACGATTCCTGTTGTTGTTAATTTCAGTGTTAAGAATGCATTTCCTGTTTTATTTTGTATTGATCTTCCCTCCTGTTGCTTTTAACACTTTTTCTGTTCTTATTCCTGGTTGAAGTTTCTAGTGTTTCCTGTTTTATTTAATCAACTCTATCCTTGCGTGTCTCTGTTTCCTGTGTGTTTATTCTGTTGAGTTTAGTTTTCAGTGTTTCCAGTTATGTTTTGTAGTTTTTGTCCCCCTCTGTAAATCTTATTTATAGTGTTTCTCCCTGCCTCTGTGTTTCCCTCCTGTTCTTAATGTCCTCTTTGTCCCCCCTTGTGTTTGATATCCAGTCTATTTAGTCTCTGTGTGTTTCTTCCCTTCTGTGTCAGTTCATTGTCAGATTTTCCCAGTGGTCATACGTCTTCTTACCAGTGTTTCTGTGTTTTCCTCGTGGCTCCTTGTTTCCCCTTTTCCCAACAGAAAAAAAGGTCCAGGTTTCTTTCTTCTCTTTGCTTTTTTTCTTTTCATATAAACTCCTCCACATCTCTTCTCTCCTCCTCCAGATCTATAACTGCTCTTGCTCCAAACCTCCATCATCAATAAAATCAACAATGAGTCATCCTCAAATTTCCAAAGCAAAGGTGAGTGGTAGTAGCAACGTACCTGGACGGCCTTTGATATGTTTTGTTTGTCTTTGTAAAAAAAAAGAATTTCTGTTGACACATTTCACCTGTCAGGAAAACAAACCCTGGGCCCTGTAAACATGTCAGTATGGATTTGCTCGTCCTCATAAAGTCAGCAGCGGTTTGTCATACTCATATGATATGACATCACTTTCCTTAATGTTACAGTAAATGACATTATATCATATAATAGTATATCACCGCCTCTTTTATAATCATAGTATACTATTTTTTTAATTTAAAAAATGCAAAGCATGTCAAATGTTGAAATTGAGGAATGTCATTACATTAGTAAAATCAAATGTCCATTTTGAATTTGATGCCAGGAACACTTTTTTTTATGTTGGGAAAGCAGCAACAAAAGTCTGGTAGAGTTGTGAAATTCTAAAATTAAAAACAAAACAAAGATGACCCTGAACTGTTGAGCTGCTGAAATCCTGCTTCCATGAAACAAGAAGGGGAAAACGTTCCACTTTCAACTTTAGATATTGGTCTCTTCAGGTCTGAAATACTTACAGAGGGTTGTTAAACAAGTTGTGATGCATCAGTGGAAAACACGTTTCTTTTTGAACACGTTGCTGGCATAAAATTCAGAGTTGGCATATGATTTTCTAAAAACAATTGGTTTCAACTTTTGATATGTCATTGTGCTATTTTCAGTTAAATACGGGGTCACATCCTGTTTTTATATAACAGTAAGTAGTACAGTTAGGGCCCCAGCTTTTTTTTAGTGGGGTTGAATATCCCACTTTAAATGTAAAACTCATTGTAAACTTAACACAATGTATGAGGGATGAACAATGTGGAAAAACCCTGTTACCTAAGGTTAACACCATTTGTATTCCATTTGTGAGTTACCAAATCTAACATTAAGTGACTGGAAAGTTTCAGAATTTCTTATTTTTCTTTGGAGCAAGACATGTGATGGAAATATGCAGGGGAGACAGTCAAGTTTATCTTTTCTTACTGCTTCAGTTTTACGTGTATCCAGGGAGAAGTTGGGCGATGTTTCAATGTCCGTGTAAAAGTGGCTTCCAGGAGTTTATGCCATAGGCTGCAACTATAAGAACCTGTTGGTGCACACCAGTGGTGAAGGAGGCCATCAGGACAGAAGCCTGGAAAAAGTGTTTTGAGGCTTGGTGAGCCCATGCGTGTGTGGAAGAAGTAGCAGTCGATTTTCTGGCACAACTTCACCAACTAACAAGGTGCTTGAAGAGAGCAAAGATCTCCAGCAACACTTAGTTAGTCATACTATGAAGACTTTATTAAACTGACGCTTTTCAGCTTGTGGTCTTTATCAGGGTGGGGAGGCTTTGGAGGACTTCAGGTTGGCCTCAAATTCTGTCATCTTAACAGGAACAGCAGGGCCCAGCTAAGGCTGTTCACAGCAGGATTGGAGAATTCTGACCCAGGCTGGAAATGTCTCTGTATGGTGGAAAGACCACCTTAAGGAGCCACTGAACTTGACCAACATGTCCTCTGATGACAAGGCAGATTTTGAAGATCCAGGAAGAGACTCGCCGATATCATTTTGAGGGTTCTTGCTTGGTGGCTGTTCATCACAGGTCCTGGAGGCATTCCTGGTCTAGAGGCCATACCAGATCTGTTGCATGCAGGAGCGTGTCCAGAGGGGTGGCCTAGAAATATGATTGGTCGACCCTGGTGACACCCCAAAAATCCTAAACTCTGATTGGCTAGTTGCCCTGTCAGAGTTAAAACCAACTATAAAGTGTTTTTGCAAAGGCAATTTTTTTTTCCACTTTTAATTGTGCATAAAAACTACTTTGCACATCCCATGGGAAAGTTATCCACACTGTCTTACTTGCAAAGAACTAACTGGAAATGTGTCAGGACCAAAACATTGCAAGTTAGACAGTTTGAAGGAGTTTGCATAGACATTTCTAAGTTCCTTAAATTGTGACTTAGAAATATATGAATCTTCTTTTCGTGTCATTAAAGAATTAAGCTACTGTTGCCATTTCCTTGTGTTATACAAGTAGATATGATTGGTGAGGTTGAAAAGGGTAAATCAATATTTGAGTTTGTGCACACATCACACTTCAGGCCACACCTGAATAAGCGAGTACCCAGTTGGTCCATCCCAGTCAAAAAGATCTGGACTTGCCTGGCTGAGGACGGACTCCTGATCTGGAGCCTCTATCATTCTGGGATGAGATGGTCTCTGTCAGTTCTGATCCATTATCATCTATGACTCATGTAGATATCTTCAAAACTGATGGATTTTCTGCAGCCCAACAATAACTTGATGGTATTTGTTCTAACAATAAGAGGGGAAAGAATTATCTGTGACAGGTGAGATGAAAGATACAGAATTTGAAGGTCCCTGTGTATATCTGTTTTATTCAAAAGTATCTTTAAAGAGCTGTCAGGAATGTTCATTTTATTCTGTGAACAGGGGAAACACAAGCTAATCCACTGTTAATCTTGCCTGAATGTGCAGCTGCTTTTTATAATCATGTTAAAGACCCATCAAAAAGTCATGACAACATATTGAACTGGCACAGTCCTGAGTGGATAATTAAGTTGTGTTACATATTGGTTATAAAACGATTTTCCAGCAACAATGGAACCACGCTTTTTTTTTCTCTGAATTTATCAGCAATAAAGCTTTCAACTAATTTGGAAAGTTAAGTAATATAGAGTTAGGAAATAACCCAGGGCAGTTTCCATCTGTAAAGGCTGCACATCACTGGTTTGTTTTGGAAAAGCAAACTATGAGTTCATTATTGTATGGCATTGTGGTGTTATTAACATTTCTCCCAGACACGTTCATTGACAGAGCTGGTCTGTCTTTTCTCTGAATCGAGGTTCTTCTATTGAGGTTCAATAACGAAGATGACATTTTTTTTAGCCCCCCCCCCAATGTCTTCAACTGAAAAAAAAGCAAAGAGCAAACTTTCAGGAGAGGCTAGGAGAAGGAACTGAATCCACACCTCATTCATCACTTAGAACAAGCCCAAGAAGGAAGAAATAGAAGCACACAACAGTCACTAAAGCTGACCGTGGTCTGAAAGGACATTCTGGACAACACATTTAATTACTTTCAGAAAATTAATTACTCTTTAAAAATTATATTAAACGCTATTTAACGCCAATAGAATAATATCTCAATGACTTAGTTTGCAACCAAAATAACGTCTTCATTTCTGCAGTAGACGCCAAGTTCTGCATATTAAATACAGATTGTCAAACTTGAAAAAGCATAGATAGAAACTGAACAATTAAATAAAACCCTTTAAGTAACAGTTTTTTCTCAAATTCAGTCAAGGAGAAAGACACGACACAGCATGTGATCATAACTTCTGCATATTCTGTTGACTTTACAATCAGAGTTTGGAAAAATATGCAACTTTTGTTCAAAAATAGTTATCAGCACATTGACACGGTTTGTCATTGTTTTTTTTTTTTTAAATAAAAAAAAAAAAAAATCACACTCTTCCATACTTGTGGTTTTCTTTGCAACTCCTTTAAGAAATTGAGACTGTCGATAGGGTAAACCTGCATTCAGTAGGGGAGAAGTATGCTAGAACAGGAAATGTGAGGATCTGTCATCACGTCCAACTTGATGCATAAATGGTTTGTGCATATTTTTTGGAGGAACAGAAGCCTAAGCAAACACAGTTCCAGGCATCATATGGAAAGATGTCGGACGCAATGCTGCATCCTTTAAGAGTTAAGTGTTGTTGTTTTTATCCCAATGGAAAAGAGGCTTCAGGATTTTTTTTTCCTCTTGACATCTTTCCTTTTGAACTCCTCTTCCTCTCTCTTCTCCTCTTCCAGATCTTCCTGCACGGCCATTTTCAGGCTATAGTAGCAAAGCACAGGGACACAGAGATAAGAGGATATAAATGAGACAGCTCTCAGAAAAAGAAAAAAAAAGTCAAACCAAAGGTTAATAACAGTAAGGTTTTTTTTTAAAAATCTTTTACCTCCTCGCCTCCTCTTTCTGCAAATCTCTCCAGCTGCTCTCCATGAACTTAAGTGCGTAGTCACTCTCGTCCTTGTATCTGAGGAAACAAATAGCGATGTGACCTTTTTCATGTAGACCATCTCAACAACTCAGTTAAAATAACTTGTAACCAGAAATGAAAAAACACTTACTTGGATCGATCATAGCCAAAGATCTCCCGAATGTGGTTGGAAATGAGATCCGGCTCCTCACCGCCATCGTCAATAAAATCGTCCATTTCGGAGTCGTACTCGTCTTCGTCATCCTCATATTTCCTCTTGTAAGCAGAGGTGATGGGGGGTAACATTGTACCTGGACAATACATCAAGTGATTCATTTAGAATATACACATAAAAGGAAAAAACAATGTTTTAAGAAGTAAATTCGGTCTTGCTTTAAGAGCCTAACACTGCCACAATTCAAACGCTTTTGATTTGAGACTTAAGTTGACAGAGTGCCATTTGAAGGTAAAGGTTGATGACATTGAAACTATGTGTTGTTTGTCTTTGTGAAAAAGTTCATCTGGCTCTACCACGATCAAGGACAAGGTTGTTGAGTGCTGCTGACACATTTCATTCAGTCTGGTTAACAAACTGCCAGTATTGATTCACCTGTTTGCATAATGTCTGCAGCTGTTATATAATATTATATTACGTCACATTACCTTATATTACCTTTGATTGCATTACATTGTAGTGTATTGGTTATTTTGAACTATTGGACTGTGCGCTTTATAACCCATAATATGGACTTAATGTACACTTTGTTAAAGTAAAAACTACAATAGAAAAATGTAAATACACAGCAAAGTGTAAGGCTGCATGGTGGGGCAGTGGTGAGCGCTATCGCCTCACAGCAAGAAGGTTTCTCCTCCGTTTGATGTCAGAGTGTGACACCGTTACTTTTGTTTAATTGAGATTAGTGCGATAGCAGACACGACCAAACTAGTGCTGGTGTTAATGTTGCTAACTGGACTTTTTACGTGCTTACACAGTTGCTCTCCCGCGATCCTGATGAGCAGAGACGTCTGAATGGACTATAGAGGCCCCTGCTACTTCATACAACACAAACCCCGACGACCAAGTTGTGGGAAAATTTAGAGGACTGTGATGAGCAATGCATTTGTGGGTCTTCTGTGAACAAAGATGTTTTCAAGAACTGAGCGTGCAAACGTTTTTCTTTTTTTGTTTTTTAACAGAGTAGGGAAACTTCCATACGTGGGGACTAGGCCTTAAACAGTTGTTTCAGCTGCTGTCTCTTTAGGCCCCCCACCACCTGTTCCCACTTTCCTCTGATTGGCCAGCTCTCCGGAAGCCTTCCAGGGGGCCAGAACAGTAGAGATCAGTATAACCGGTCAACTTTAAGGTCCTACCACGAGACGCACCAATTGCAATTTCTATGATGGATTCCCTGTGTTAGTCTGAGGTCAGCACAGAATCCGCTTTACTTTGAGGACAAAGCAGTTGGAAATCATCTGGTGCATGTCGAGGTGCGACCATAATACGGAGATGAACTAGGTCAAATATTAACAAAACCAGTTCTTAAGTAATATTACACCAGTATCCTTGTTGTGGTTCTTACCTGGTGGTCTGTTCATCATAGGTCTTGGTGGCATTCCTGGTCTTGGAGGCATTCCTTGTCTAGGCGGCATTCCTGGTCTAGGTGCCATCCCAGGTCTTTGTTGCATGCCTGGCCGAGGAGGGGCTCCTGGTCTGGGGCCTCCAAAATTCTTGGAAGAGATGGTTTCTGACACCACAGTGCACTTTGATCTTCCAGGTCCTGATCCCATGGTTCCATTTGGTCTTGCAGGTCCTCCATTACAAGGTCGACCAGGTCCAATCCCTGGAGGTCTGGATCCACTACCTCCAGGGTGACCCTGCCTAGACGGACCTGGCCTGGCCTGTGAAACACCAGCAGGTCTTGGTTGATGTTGGCTCCCTGCCTTAGGAGGGTCGCTTGATGAAGGTCTCGTCGCTGGATTCCCATTTGATCTAACTGCTGAATTCATCCCGGGCCTTCCTGGGTCTCCCTTTCCAAGTCTGTTGGCTCCAAATGTAGGTCCCTGCTTTGATGAGCCCCCCTGACTGGGCCTGGTCTGTGGGGAGCTTCCACGTTGAGATTTTTGGCCTGTTATAGCTGGACCAGGGGTCCTGCTCGCAGGATTACCTGAAGCTCTTCCATGAAGGGATGACGAGCTTTCCTTTTTAAAGGTAAGGTCACTTGAGGTGCTGGATTTGTGGCTAAAAGGGGGCTTGGAACCCCCCTGTTTGGCTGAAACCTGAGAAGATGTGGCTTTCTGAGGAACTTTACTGTTTACGGCACCGGATGAACTGGACATGCTTGTCTTGGATCTGTCTCTGTCACTGTGAGACATCTTGGGTTTCTCTCTGTCTCTGTCGCTCACAGAGGGCTTGGAGGAAGAGTGGCCTTTATTGCTGTTGTTTATTTGGTTTGACTTCTTTACTGACCCACTGGGCTGACTTGGCTTTTCTGTGGAGTTCTTTTGTGGTTTGTAGTTCTTCTGCTCTTTCTCTGAAATGCCTTGTCTTGACGAACCTGAGCTAAACTGAGATTTGCGATCTCTTTCTTGCTCTGCTTTTGAGTATTTTTCTTTTTCTGGCCTCTTAACCCTGCGCTCCATCTCTAGTTCCCGTATCTCATCGGCTGTGCGGAGCCTCTCTTCCTTTTTCACAGACTTGGGTTTTAACTCAACTGGCTCAAATTGCTTCTTCTCCGCTAATTTCAATAACTCTGCAAAGTTCAAAGGCGCTGGAGCACCCTTTGGGGGCCCACTGGATTTCTTAGAGGCTTTACCATTACTACTACCACTCCCACTTCCACCTGTTGTTTTCACAGGTCTCAGGGGCTCTGGCTCCTGCTCAGGCTCTGAATCTGACTGTTCATACTCATAATTATCTTCATCGTCCTCTGGATCAATAGAGTTATTCCTAAAGCTTTCATGGTTCATTGATTTTTCTTCCTCCATTTCTTGTTTTGTTCTCCTCTTCTTAGGAAGCTCTACCACCGGGATGCCATTGTAACCTCTGAAATTGTCCTTAGTTCTGGAAGCCATGGCTCGGGCCTTACGGTCTGACTTCAGCTCGACCCTCTTGGCAAGTAGTTCCTCTTTCTCTTTCTTCATTTTTATTTCTGGGGGAGACGAGTATAATAATAAAATAATGAATGAATTATGGTTACTGCATTAAATGTGGCTGACCATCAAATTACATATATCAACCTTTCATGTTATGTTGTTACCTTTCTTCTTATGTTCAATGTGTTGCTTCTTCAGCAGCGCTTGCACAGCAGCAGGATTTACACCACCCGTCCTCGGAACTTTTTTGGGTGGTCCAGTCTGTAAACTGTACCTCTTCTGCTAGAATAGGCGAGGGGGAAATGACATATTGAAATCTACAGCTTTCACATCTCCTTCTCTTAAATGTCTTTGTTACAGGATAATAATATATTATAGATCACGATTAATTACATTGCAATCGGTATAGCACATTTCAAACAAACGTAAACTCAATGTGATTTAAAGAAAAACTTGGGTTAGGGTTAAAATCAGCACAAAAAAGGTTTAGAAACAAATACAAAATTTTAAATGTATTAATAAAATGACATTGCACCAACCCACACAATATACACATGTACTTCAAGTACAGGTCTAATGGTCCCTGACCTGTTTCTACTAGAGCACACACACAGGACTACACACACATGCACAGTACACAAAATGTAACGCACCTTTACCGGATTTGGTTTTAACTTCAGGTATATATGAGGCCCATAACTAATGATCTGAGGGATCTGATGGAGCTTAGTCAGTGATCGGGACATTGAGATAGACTGAAATGTGCATCACCATTTAGAGCAGGGGTGGGCAACTGGCGGCCCGGGGGCCACATGCGGTCCCCATCAACCCTCAACCTGGTCCTCAGGTCAATTTTTACATATCAATTAATTGGAAACATGAAGAAAACATGACAAAATCTGTCATGAAATCATGAAAACCAGAAATATGTCCATGATAATATTTGATCACTGGTATACATTGAGTTAAATTTGAGACATAATCGACTGTAATCGTTTTTTGTATGCTACAATTTGGCCCTCTGGCAGCGAGAATTAAATGAATGTGGCCCTTGTTGTGAACGAAGTTGCCCATCCCTGATTTAGAGCATTATTTATAAGAATAATTATTACATATTAAATTCTGTATTGGACAGGAAGCCATTATGTATGTAGCCTACTGTATTTTCAGAATATATGTAATGTTCTCTATTTTCCTGAGCTCTACTAAACAATCTGGATGAGCTGGATCATACCTACTGCCCTTTTAGTTTGTGCAGCATCGAGGGTATTACGGTAATCTAATCTGTTTGCGATGGACACATGGATTAGTGAGTCAGATTGGGACACTAACACCTCAGTTTTGAACTGGTTGAAGTGTTAGAAGGCTGTTGTAGATCATTCGCTAAATGATCGTTCCGTAGCAGGTGTGCGTTTATCCTGATCAGCGCCACTAGAGTGCGCAGTTATAACATGTCATGCCTGATGAATGTCACATGTCTACTCTCGGTTAATAAATGAACCAGTGGCAATACATAAATTGTCTTCTTATTCACATGCACGCACTGGATGCAACAAAGACAATTCAACATGGTGTCAGAAATAGTACGAACTCCTCGCCTGTGAGTGTTTCCACGGACAGAGTAAATGTGCCCGGACTGTTTATGCTAACAAGCTACTGGTAAAGCCACGCTACGTCGCTGCAATGGCGGATGGATTTCGCAGACCAGACCTGGTTGTTTTTGACGGCAACGTCGCCGAAAGTTGGCAGATATTTGAGCGGGAGTACGACATCTTTATCGCCGCAGCACACTTCGACAAGCCTGCAAGAACGAAGGCTTACATCCTCCTCAATCTTGCAGGAGCGGATGCCATTGAACGAGAGCGCTCGTTTGTCTACGCAGCTAAAGTAAGAGCACCCGGCGACGGCGGAGCAGTAATCACTCCAGCAGAGTCCAGGGAGGATCCCGAATGTTTAAAGAGGAAATTCCGTGAAATCTGCAATCCACAAAACAACAAAATAATGGAGAGACACAAGTTTCATTCAAGAAATCAGAAACAAGGTGAGAGCATCGAGTCATTCATCAGTGATCTGAGGATTAAAGCTAAGAGCAGCCATTTTGGAGATTTGACTGATGAACTTGTCTGTGACCGGATAGTGTGTGGCATCACTAGTGACACTCTTGGAAAATCCCTGTTAAGAGACAGTGAATTAACATTGACCAAAGCCATTTCTCTCTGTCGCATTCACAAAATGACGGAGGAGAATAGCAAGACACTAGCCTTTCAAGCTACTAATGTTGATATAGTACGGCCAGTTTCCCTCAGAAAGTACCAGTCAAAGTCCCAATCATTTGCTCAGTCCCAGGTCATCACTAGCTGCAGTAACTGTGGTGGTAGCCACGCGGCTAAGCGGGAAAAGTGTCCAGCTTTCGGACAACAGTGTCATAATTGCAAGAACCCAAATCATTACAAGAAGTGCTGCAAATCGAAAACTCACAGTCAAAACAGCTTTAAGAAGAAGACTTTCAGACAATCTGTGCACGAAATAGCAATAGATGAGCCTGCAACATGCAGGGAGGACACTTTCCATGTGGACGGCGTCCATGTTGACAAGTGTATTGACAGCATCAATGCTCAAGCTGGCGACAAAGATGAAGGTTTTGTTACAGTGTATATCAACAGCAAGCCCACTGAAATGAAGGTTGACACAGGAGCAAAACGCAATGTGATATCACAAAAGACTTTCAACAGAGTAACAAACAACGAGCAGCTACAGGAGAAGACCACAAATCGTGTTGCTTACGGAGGCAGCAAAATCGAAACGAAAGGTGTGGTCACCCTGTCATGCAGTTTAAAGGAGCAGTGTCACCTCTTGCCCTTCTTCATAGTAGACAGAGAAGTGCAGCCACTACTTGGATTTCGAGCGTGTGTGAACATGGGATGAGCCGTGACGTCCATCAGCTCACCACGGAAAGTGATACAGACTTTACAAGGCAGATCCTCAAACAGTACTGTGACCTGTTTAGTGATGATCTTGGAGAACTGCCAGTCACATACTCAATGACGGTGGATCCCAGCATTCAGCCTGTGGTTCGGCCAGCTCACCGCATCCCAGTCGCGATGCAGGACAGGGTTAAAACCGAACTTGAGCGCATGCAAAACATAGGTGTCATAACACCAGTCTCTGAAGCCCACAGATTGGTTATCATCCATGGTAGCTGCACACAAAAAGGACAAACAAGAAATAAGACTGTGCATTAATCCAAAAGACCTCAACACAGCACTCAAAACACCCCATCACCCCATGCGCAGCGTTGAGGAAGTCGCAGCGCAGATGTCAGGTGCAACTGTGTTTTCTGTCTTAGATGCAAAGAACTCTTTCGGGCAAATAAGTCTCGACAAGAAATCTTCAATGTTGACTACGTTCAGCACTCCTTTTGGACGCTACAGATTTCTCAGAATGCCGTTTGGCATCAACTCTGCAAGTGAAGTATTTCAGCGTTCAATGGAACAACTGTTAGCAGGTTATCCATGTTCAGTTATCGTCGACGACGTCATCATCGGAGGCCGTGATGTAGCTGAGCACGATGCTAACTTAAAGAGAGTGCTTATAAAAGTAAAAGAAATAAACCTCAGGCTTAATCCAGCAAAATGCAAATTTTGCCTGGACCACGTTGGCTATGTAGGTCACATCTTCACAAGTGGAGGACTTAAAGCAGACCCTGCTAAAACGGCAGCCATTACAGACATGCCAGTCCCCACAGACGTCACCTCACTACAGCGTTTCCTTGGTATGGTCAACTACCTTGGCAAGTTCATCCCGAACTTCAGTGACATTGCCGCACCACTGAGAAAACTGACTCACAAAGGAACTGCATGGTGCTGGTTCCAGCAGCATCAGGAAGCATTTGAACGTCTCAAGTCGTGTCTGTCAAGCCCACCTGTACTGTCATATTATGATGTTAAGCAGCCTGTCACACTAACATGCGATGCATCTTGTTATGGACTAGGAGCTGCATGCCTTCAAAACAGCAAACCCGTTGCCTTTGCATCACGTACCCTCACAGACACAGAGACTCGTTATGCTCAAATTGAGAAGGAGCTGCTAGCTGTCGTGTTTGCCTGCACAAAGTTCAGCGACTATGTTTATGGTAAGCCCATAACGGTGAAAACAGACCACCAACCTTTGGTGACAATCCTAAAGAAGCCGATCAACTCTGCCCCTGCCCGTCTCCAAAGAATGATGGTACGCTTGCAAAGCTATGACATCATCTTAGTCTACAAAAAAGGTAAACACATGTACCTCGCAGACACCCTCTCACGAGCCCCGACTACAAAAGTTCCCCAGAGCCCTGCTGAAAATGACACTTTTGAAGTTCTGTCTGTTAGTTACATTTCCACAGCCCGCCTGGAAGAGCTTAGAAAGCACACAGCGGAGGATGAGGTGCTACAGACTCTCACTGCAGTCATTCAGCGAGGTTGGCCCTCAAGAGAGAGCCAGCTCCTGCCTGCTGTGCGTCCCTTCTTCCCCTACAGAGATGAGCTGACAGTCGAGGGTGGAATCATCATGAAAGGACACAAAACTGTCCTTCCCCAGTCCCTGCACAGAGAGTACATTAACATTGTGCACAAAGGCCACCCCGGTGCTGAAGCAACAAAACGCAGAGCTAGAAGCATCTTATTTTGGCCAACAATCTCAAAACACATCATTGAAGAGTTGCTTTCATGTGCAGTGTGCAACAGCACCAGATCTCATCAGCAAAAGGAGCATCTTAAGCTTCATCCTGTTCCAAGCCTCCCATGGTCCACAGTGGCAACAGACATTTTCGATTGGCATGGTAAACATTACCAAGTGCTGGTCGACTCTTATTCAGGTTGGTTTGAAATTGACCTTCTCCGCGACATGACGTCATCAGCTGTGATCACAAAATTAAGAAGACACTTTTCAGTGCATGGCACACCTCACACCCTGCTCTCTGACAATGCTAGACAATACACCAGTCAGCAGTTTAAGGATTTTGCAAGACAATGGGATTTTGAACATCTCACAAGCAGCCCTGAGTACCCTCAATCAAACGGACTCGCAGAGAGAGCTGTCCGCAGTGCCAAGCAACTGCTGGAACGATCTTACAGAGACGGTTCTGGTGTGTTTCTTAACCTTCTAAACCTCAGGAACATCTCCTGTGATCCTACACTTGGTTCTCCAGCTGAACGCCTGATGTCACGTCAGACACGTGCAGCTATTCCTGTGAGCACCAAACTGTTGCAGCCTACCCCAAAAAAATACCCAGCAAATAAATGCCCAGCTTGTCAACAAAAGGCTCACTTTAAAGCGCCACTATGACACTTCAAGTCGCCCTCTGAGACCTTTGTGAGAAGGACAAGTTGTCAGAATGCAGCCTCCCAAAGGCTACAATCAACTTGGAATCGTGAAAATGGTGAGCAAAGAGCCTCGTTCCTACATCATCCAGTCCAATGGAACAACATACAGGAGAAACCGCCGCCACATCCTTCCTGTTGCAGAGCCACCACCGCCACGACTGTATACAGAGGACTTCAAGCATCCAGAACAAGGACCACTCTGCATTGGACAATGTTCCCTCCACAGCTGACAGTGTCCCTTCTACACCACAAACACCAGAGTCATACACACTGAGACCTCATCACAAATCCCCTCTAAGGCCACTTCACACAGAGAACCCCCTCAATGATTACAGTAACACCCCTTACATCTCACGCTCAGGACGCATTTGCAGACCAAATTTAAAACACGTTCAGTAAAATGAACTAAAAAAGGAAAAGGGACAGTAAAATGTGTGTTTCATTTTGTTGAGTATTTTGAAAAAAGAGAAAACTTAACAGAAATGTCACGATTCTGTGATAGTTACAAGTTAAATGTGGAAATGTTATTTAAAAGTCCATAAGTTTCTATAAAGCTGTATGATGTACATGTTAACAGTACAGTAAGACAGAATAGTTTTATGTTGATTTTGCAAAGTGTTATTTTGCTTCTGATAGAGCTAAAAGCTAAAGGGAAAGGATGTAGATCATTTGCTAAATGAGTTAGCTGCTAGCTAAATGATCACATCCTCCCTGTCAGTGCCAGCTCAGAGGGCTAACATTACCTACACACTACTGTTTGAGTAAATGGAGGGCAGGTGACACGCTTCCTTACCTGTACATTGCCGAGGCCCTGGTTTTGCGAGGCGATGTCCAGTATATTGTCGAAGTCCATCATTTTGCCAGCAGACGATGTAAACTAGTGAACTGTTCAAAACTCAACCAAGAGTGCTACTGTTAGCCTTTAGCTTACAAAACAGCCCGTGGTTTAGTGCCACCAAAACGACATCCAGATAACTAAAAAGAAAACACCCCATCAAATTGTAAACTTAAGGGGCGACGCTATTTGCTGATTACGTTTGCTGACGTAAGCACATGTTACCGATTTTAACATTAGCTTACTCAACATTAGCTAACATAAGACAAACCAAGACAGTAGAGACGCGAGTTTTCCCCCTTTGAACAGATAAAGCACTAGACAACGATGCTGAATCCGTCAAAATGTTGTTGAAAATAACAAAATTGCTGCCATAACAAACGCCGGGTGTGAACAATTCTGACGCTAACAGCTCGAAGGAACGAAATAAAGAGCCCAAAGAGTGCGCTGACGAAGTGGGAGGATTCACTTGTACATACTTCCGTCACTGCAACATTACAGAGCGTCGGAAATATGGGATTATGATGGGAACCATTGGATGCTGTCTTCGTAAAGTAGCCTAAATTAGTCGTATGTGATTTAAAAAAAGAAAAGAACAAGATGTGTTTTTGACAAGTTTCCATGCCTTGGTCACTGAAAACCTGCTGTAAACATGAAGAAACCAAAGGTAGAAGAATGACTTTTGAAATTGGAAAAATCCGAGCACTCGCGGGTGCGTGAATGCAGCAGTCTAAATACGTCAAGGCCTTTAACTCTAGTATGCTTTGGTTTGGCTGGTTTTAATGTTGCAAATATTGTGCGTTTTCTTAAAAGGTGATTGCAAATTATGGGCCTGATTGATCGTTATTGAAGAGTTTATCTGTCTTACAGATAAGGCAAGACAAATCTGTGAGCATTTTGCGATTACAAAAAGGCCCACATTCCGATTTTTTTTTAAAGTATATCAAAATCGTTCAGAATAATTTTCTGTGACCGGCACTTCCGCCTTTGTCCAACGTTAACGTTACGCCATTTCCGTCCACTTTTTTTAATTTTTTTTATTTTTTTTATTTTTATTTTTTTTACATTTGTAGACCAGACTACAGTCTATGACCAGACCACATGATGTCGCTACATATATCGTTCAGAATCTTCTGGAAGTTTAATGTTGAGTTTCATCAAGACTCTAAGTTGAGTCTTGTCATTGCACCCTCCTAAAATCAAGGTTATGCACAAGTAGTCTACTCTATAGTAACATGCGGCAATTATTACATTAGCTATAACTGAAATGTTAAAAAAAACACGGCTTATTATGTTTGACGTATTTATCGAGGATCTAAAACACGAGTGACCATCGTTCAACTATTTACTTAGAGAAAAAAACGTGCTGATTGTAGCCATGTCTTGGTCTTGTCTTGATAAAATACTGGGAGAACATTTGTACTGAAATGACTCTCATTCTGAAAAAAAGATGGCCAAATTTACCATGAATTAATTTTGTTCGGAAAAATGCCAAAGGAGAGTTAAGATAGTATCTTGCTAGACTCTGATATACCTAAGATGTATGACTTTTGTTGGGCTTCTTGGTGGTATGTTTTTTTATGTCATTTTATAAGTGGTTTACCTTGTTGTGTCACATTGGTACATTTAAAAAAAAAAAAAAAATAGGCTATAAAAAATTAAAAAATCTTGCTTTCAAAAAATACTTGTGTGAGTTGATGCAGAAGCACTGTAAACAAAATGTTTGCCTTCCAGGAAAAAACAATTATTGTGGCTATTTCAGCAAGTTTAGTGTTGATATGCTCGGCTAATTCAAATATCCTGACAACCAAGAACATTTCAGGTAAATAGATTGAGGAATACTTTTAATCAAATAATTGGATCTTGTTTATAGGATGAACTGTATTTAACTGTGGAATAAAACATTATATAGAAATCTGTCTTTAATATGATGGGGTGGAAGAATCAATATAAACAAATAGGCTAATGCTTTACATGAACTCTATATTCTCTATATATTGTACTGTAACTGAATTTAAAGGCTCTCACACGTACACTCAAATCCTGCTAAAACATGTATTTTTCCTATTAAAAAAAGCCATGTAAAATCGATAATTGGATTCACATCATAGACTTTAAACACACAGTCTATAATTCTAGTCATAGTGATGATGATGTGTGTTTATATTTATTTTTGTCGAATTTGATACCCCCTTTTTTACAGATTTATAACAGACTGTCTGTGCACAATCATAAATGAGCTCGGCACAAAGGTTTTAAACAACCTCCATCTCTGTAAAATGTAAATAAAGGCCATCTGCTCCAAAAAGTAAACAGCAGAAGGACTCCTCCTATCCGGGCGTCGCTGATTCCTCAGCCCGCCCCCTGTCAAGACCACTCTCTTCTTCTATTGGTCAATTGCTAAAGCCCCGCCCCCGTAATGACTCACGTTCTTCTTCCTACCTAACGTCGGACCGCCTACCGCAGCCAGGACAAAAACAATCGGCATCCTCTGAACACTACAACATAAAAACGGAGGACTCGAACCAAAATCTGTTATCATTAAAACACATTTCAAAGATACGGACACCACAGAGGGAGAGATGGTTTCTCCGGTAACAGTGGTGAGTATTTTCGTTTAACATTTTTAACTAATTTTAAAGGAATAATACTGATAGCTAGTTAAGCTACACGATAACAACACTGCCTACCTTATCTCCGTTAATGTCAATTTATGTTTAAAGTCGACTGGCTCATTATTAGTCTACTCTTTATTTGCACATGTTTTCAAAGTAGCAATTTCATGTCAAACTGTTCTTCGAGGCCAGCTCTTGCCATTTGGGTTATGATTCATTAACCGGTTCGGTAGGCTTAATAAGAATATATTTTAACCGAATCCAATGAAATATTCAGCCAGTGCCAGTCGACACTGACGCTGTCATTGTCAGTGTCTTATTGTTTCGGTATTTCATTGTGTTCATCTGTATCCGCTCGACACTTGAAGCTGAAACTTTTATTTTCTGAGGCTACTTCCGTGACATTTTTCACCCGGTTCATTCTCGACATACCACGTAGAAGAGGACTTTTCCTCAAATTTCCAAAGCCAGCCCTGATAAAAAGAAAATCATGTGACGACCTTTTTTGTCTTTTTTCCCCCTCTCATGTGCCCTCCAGTAACGCATGCGCAGAGCAGCTCTCTGCGGTGACTGCCTTACTTTGCAGCATCTGTGCATTGCACACACTCTATTATTTGTCACATCTGTTACATCTGCTACATAATTGACCATCATGCCACTGAAGAAATGTAGCTTCTTTAGCAAACAAGAAAAAAAACCTATGTTAACAATTTAGACCGTCCTGGCATCCTCTTACTTTACTAGAGCTACTTTTAAATTTTACTCCATTTGCAGGGAGCCATGAAGGATGGTGTGGTGTACCTTAACCTTTAATAAACCCTGATGAGGGGCCTGTGTGGAGGAATGCCTGACATGCAAACTGGTTGCCTTAGAGATGTGGTGCCGTGCAGATATTGGGGATACTTAAAGCCCTAGTATTGCTGTGAAGGGGAATGCGGAACTTTTTGCTCTGATAAAAAACATATTTGATAGATATGACACAGACCTGGACAGGCAAACTTGACATATTATTGGGTACAAAATGGTCCCAGAATGTTGCATGATCTGTGATTTTGATTACACTTAATAAAAGATAAGTTCATACAGTATCAATTTTATATTAGGGGAAACGACACAACTGACAGCTCAGAGTGACTTGTTGTAAAATTGAATAGACACAGCAACAGCAAAACTATAAGACATATGGAGTGTGTATGGATAATAGAGCATAAAAGATACAAATAAATAAAGTTTATTAATATTTACAATGATATTAAAAGCATAATGCAATGGTATAAAAGACTTTTAGTCTAAAAAAGAGCATGAAGTTGGCATCCAGGTTCACATGGGGCTGCTTCATCAAATGAGCCATTTTTTATTTAGCAGTGAGGAAGAAAAGAAGGCTTTAAATTTGTGACTCCCCTTTAGGCCTGCTCAGTGATCAAACAGGGATCATTAGATTCCTAACTCATATTTTACACTATATTATTATTTCCATTTTCTTTAGACGTAATTTTAATGTCTGGCTTCACGACCTAAAAGAAACACTTCCTTTTTCAATGCCATCACTTTATCAAAATTTATTTAGCTGGTATGGTCAGCCTTACAGTCTCAGACAAATGTGTCATCACCATTTCTGGACTCTGAACCTGCTGGCAGACGCACACTGTAACCCAGAGATACAGTGTGAGATTCACTTTGCATTTTGGCTTTAATATGATACAATAGCTGAAGTGTTTTTCTATTGTTTCTTGTCTTTGTTACTTAGTTTTATTCACTTAAGAAGACACAATTGATTTTATACACACACATGCTGTTTACGGAAGAGCATGCTTCAACTAACATCGAGTTAATCATTCTTCTAGGTTCCTCTGTATGGAAGAGCAGCGTGTTTTACTGTACTTGTAAGAAGCAGTGGACCTGGAGGTATTCCTGCGTGTAATGCTACATAGAAACAACATTGTCACATGTGTATACTCACACGTTTGCTATGTCAGACAGGACCATACTAAGTTACAGTTCCTGTCTGCTAAACTGAGCAGATCTTTTGTTAGTTTACCAGTATCATATTTCTGACACTGGGCTTGCTTATGACGCATGAGGTTGAATAGATGTTCATCCATGCTGGCTGTTATTCACTGCTTCAATGCTGTGCATTTGTCAGATCATATTTGAACAGCTGCTTGTTTCCTCCTCTGGACAGCAGCTACAAGATGAGTTTAGGCTGCTGATCAGCGAGATAAAACTTTGCAATGTTGTACGCATTTAAAAACTAATTTAATGGGGAGTTTTTTCACAGTTAAAGTCTGTCTGTATCATTGATGTAGTCCAACATAACAAATATTTGTGACAATATTTTGTTGATAATATTGTTCCTTTTGGATTTGTATACAGTCTAAAAAAAAGGGGGGGGGGGTAATTCTACTCAATTGTTCCTTAAAAAAACCTATTGCTTGTCAGTGAGCATGCAAATTCAGTCAATCATTAACGTTGTCATTCTTCACCAGGGAACAGAGACAGAGAGATGCCAGCTGTAAATGCCACAGCACTTTTTTTAAACAGGATCTATTCATCAGTGCTCAGTCAGGCTGAAATACAAACATTCTTTTATTTGCTTTCAGCAATGACAATATGTTCTGCTCTCATTGAGTTAAAGATATTGGACTAAAAGCTTTCCAACCAGGTTTATGATCACTTTATACACTTCATTGGATTGGTTACATCAGGTATTACGACAGTAATGGGTTGTGATTTGACAAACAATTGGCCACTAAACTAAATGGATGCCCCTGGCTAATTTGCATCTTTATTACTGCTGGAGATTTGTGCCCATGCTAATGATACAAGGAGATCAACTTTACTGGGAAGATTCAGAAACAAAAAATGTGTTGTGTGGCATGTTTAGTCTTGTATCTGGGCTGTTTGTTATTGTGTAGATGCAGTAAGTTTACACGAAAAACAACGGAAAGGGAAACTGCAAAGTATGGCTGAGTTGCAGCATGAATAGCATCAAAGGTTATGGGAATCTCTGACTTCCACCCACTTTCCTCCCTGGAATCTATTTTCCCCCAAATCCCTGAATAGATTCCTCTTAGGTTTCTTTTCCCACAAAGACTAATCAAAGTGTTTGTGATCATCAAGCATAACACCCCAAAATCACTAAGCCTGGTATTCTTTATAAAATAATAGTCCTTATCTGTTTAATGGGGCTTCTTGGAGCCATCCTTGTATTCAAGGTTTTAAACGAACAGATGTTGTGTTTCCTTGTGTCCTACATGTGTTTCCTAGTGTCCTGTGCTTACAGAGACACCGTGGCCTAATGAACACAGCTATGATATCGGCTAGTCTGGGAGTGCTGCCAGTGCTGGCCTTAATGGGATAGATAGACTCAGCAAACACTCACACATACACACGTTTCTGTCATTAGACGAACTTTAATCTTAATTTGTGTCTCCATTAGTTTTATGAAAAGTGCACAATGAAGAGGAGAAGAAGTGCTTTAGTTCACATACACCTAAAGTTAGTGTGTTGCCTCAGTGGAAAAATCCCTGTCATGCTATCTGGAAGTAGAAGAAACTGATTCGATCGGAAATGTTTATGTAAGCAGAAAGCAGAGGCTTTTTGTTGTTGTCATATGACAGTGTAGGATTACAAGCTGTTTGATACCCATCTCAGGGTGGTAAGATTAGACTCAGTCTGGGCAGTTGTGGATGGCAAACCTCTTATTCCCCTTTTTTTGACTCTTTGGTAAGCAGAGAAAACTTGGGAACTAAAAAAGACTAACGCTCCCCAAAGTTGGGAAGAAACACATTCTTTAAACTGTCGAAAAGAGGCCTACAAATGAACTACAACGACAACAACCTAAAGATCTGAGTAAACAGATGGCACATCAGGGTGTCTGCCTTCGTGTCCAGTCCTGAGTCTTACTACTGTAGTGTTGTAGTACTCAATCGGTCTTGGTCTCAAGACCGGTCTCGAGACTGCTTTTTGAAGGTCTCGGTCTCGTCTTGGAATTGAAAGGTTTTTTTACTGGGTCTTGTCTCGGTCTCAGGCAGGGTGGACTCCGGATTTTAAATCAAGACCGGTCAAGACCACCACCGACAGGCTATTTTTCCATGTTATTACTGTGAAGGAAAACACCTCTTTCTCAAAGAACAAATCATTTTAATTTCATTTAATTTTATCACCTGGTTATGGCCGCAACCTTCCCAGGGTTAAGTGAGTGACACGCTCCCTACGCACAAGATGATGATTTTTCAGTGATATTCATGGTCTCGTCTCGATTTCGCCCTGCATTGGTCTTGGTCTTGGTCTTGACTTGGTCTAGATCCCTAAACGTCTCGGTCTTGTCTCGGTCACGTAGCACTCTGGTCTCGGGTATGTCTTGGTCCCAGTTAGTGTGGTCCTGACTACAACACTTTAGTCATATAGATTATTCCATTTTTGCTCACCAGTATTATGTGCCCTTTCACCCTTGACAACTTGTGTTATTTGCGTGAACACATACAGCATATGGGACCAGATGTAAACTTGTGGGACAGATCCCGGGTGTTTTCCTGCTGCAGTAAGTGCACATGAATCTTATCAGCTACAGCAGGGCAGGCTTTTGGTCCGTCAAACATCATGTCTGATCCCGTACAGTCATTTTGGCATGCCATGTCATTAAACAGTTGTGCAATCCGAAGCCTCCCTTTCCTTCCCATATGAACGAGAGTGACCCCTCATAGTCTTTCACCCCCCTCGCCTCCTTCCTCCTCCTCCTCTCCTCCACCCCTTTAGCGCAGCTGTCATGTAAATACCTGTAACCCTGTCTTGCTCACCATCCCTCTCCCCTGAAAGCTCGCTCCTCTATGCTTCTTCCTTCCTCCTTTCCTCTGCCCTACTTACTTGTTCTTTTGTGAATATTGAGATCATTTTACTTCACCAGCGAAGGTTTTATTGAGAGGGATGCTAAATTATTAAACTGGGAAATCAACCCTTTCCCTATTGCACTATTACCCCTCTTCCTCCTCCCCTTCTTGTATCCTCTTCATCTCTCCTCCTGTGATCTGAGCTCTGGTGAACCCTGTCTCACTTCTTCCTCTTGTATCAATCTCTCCTTTCTTCTCCCTCTTTAACCCCCCCGAGGCTAATTGTCCTAAACCTAGAAAGTAATTCTCAGAATCATAGGAGGGTGGTCACGCAAAAAGTGTTGTGAAACCTTTTTTCTTGCCGTGTTTTTTTTTTTTTTTTTTTTTTGTGACCCCCCCCTGGTGCCTCATCTATTTGGACAGAAAGAAATATGACTGCTTAAGCGGTTGGAGAGAAGAATTTGAGACTTCAGTAAAATGCACAGTTCTCAAGAACATGCCTTACAGAGAGGGGGAGGGGAGGAGACTCGCAAAAACAAAGAAGAAGAAGTGAAGAAAAGGTTACAAAGTGTCAAAGAAATGGTTGCGTTTTTCATTTCCTCTGAGACTTGCTGAGTTTCAGTTCGGGCGACGAATCACGTGCATGTCTCACACACTGATGTAAACTTGTAACCACACAATGCAAACCCTGAGGACGGATCCAGTCTCAACCACATCCACTTGTTTGCTGCTTATTTCCCCATTTTTGTGATTGAACAATGTGTCAGTGTAGCTCAAACACATGAAGTGCTTATTGATCTTCCAAGCCTCCTTTCTTGAGATGAAAGCCCTTTCAAAAGATCTACTCTTAATACAGAGTGACAACAGTGTTACTTTGTTCTGAATAACTGGTTTGAATTATTTCCTGTAAATGCAGCCAGCTGTGACTCAAAGTAATAACATAAATATCATATCTGCTTGCAGGTCAAAAGCGAAGGCCCAAAGCTGGTGCCATTCTTCAAGGCGACTTGTGTGTATTTCGTCCTGTGGCTGCCCACCTCAAGCCCCTCCTGGTTCAGCGCCCTCATCAAATGTCTGCCCATCTTCTGCCTGTGGGTGTTTTTACTGGCGCACGGCTCCAGCTTCCTAGGTGCTCACTCCAGTGCCCGCAAGATCCTGGCTGGCCTGATTTTTTCTGCTCTGGGTGATGCTTTTCTCATCTGGCAGGAGCAGGGCTACTTTGTCCACGGTGAGGAGAACATGTTACACACACACACACACCAAGTCACTCTGTTAGAATCTTGTCATCTACAGAACGATTGGTTGATCTTATAATGGAAAATCTGGTTATATCAACTTGGGTATTCTTTGTAGTTGGGGTTCTCTTTGCTGTAAGTATGATTGATGTGTATCTGGGACATGGATAGAAAAGTTCAACAAAAGATGGAGAAAATGAAGACAAACAGCAGATCTAACAGACATAACATCGGGTTTAACTATTAGTAATAAACACAACTTAGGGCTTTACCTCTAACAAGGAGATGCTAATCTGACAAAACTTTTAGCTTCTTGACAAATTCTCTGATCCCCTGAGTTCAAATTTTCTGGCCTCTGGGCTGAAACGATTCCTCAACTAACTCGAATAATTCTTTGCATCGAAGCATCGGACGTCACTTCCGGCCCGGCTTAGCATTACCGCACGGTGCATAAAGTTTGTTCTTCTACGCTCTTTTGTGGATGTTGTCACTCCATTGGACTACACATAGCATTGATAGAAAGGCAAATATTCTCATTATCGGGTGCATTCTATCGCTCTCTCTCTCTCTCTCTCTCTCTCTCTGTCTTCTTTTAAAAATCACCCAGAATGTAGTCCACTATGGCATCGATATCGATAATCGATAGAATACTCGCTTACTAAAATAATCAATAGCTGCAGCCCTACTCTTAAACTTGTTGGGACATGTTACAGCAGCAATGTCAGACAGTTCAGAAATCCCCGAAAGGAGTTCAAGAATAACAGATAAAAATAGCTGTTGAAAATTCTGGTCAAAGTTAAAACTCTAACGCTGTGTTGTAATAAACAGAGTCACCAATCCTGTCATTTCTGAAGATTTGAAAGGGCTGATTGTGATATCAAATATCTTACTTGAAGTTTCAAATCAGGACTTTGGCATGGCACTTATTTATTTTAGAACCTTCATTTTACACAGCGATGTTTAAGGATCTACTTTGATTGAAGTCATACATTTGAAATGTCCAACAGGCCTGCTGATGTTCGCCATCACCCACATCCTCTATTCCTCCGCCTTCGGGATGAAGCCCCTCAACATGTCTGTTGGTCTGGTGGTCTCTGCTGTGTCCTCTGTGAGCTACATGCTGCTCTACCCCTACCTGTCGGGCCCCTTCACCTACCTGGTGGCCGTCTACATCGCCCTGATCGGCTTCATGGGCTGGAGGGCAATGGCAGGCCTGCAGCTTGCAAACGACCTGTGGACCTGGACCAAGATGTCGGCCTGCCTGGGTTCCGTGCTCTTCATGGTGTCCGACCTCACCATCGCCGTCAACAAGTTCTGCTTCCCAGTGCCCCACTCACGTGCCATCATCATGGCGACCTACTATGCGGCTCAGATGCTGATCTCGCTGTCAGCGGTGGAGTGCCAGGACGTGGAGGTCGCCAGGAAGAGGTCATGAGGTACCAAGGGTTCTGTAGCAACTGGTCATGAGGTTGGGAAGGTGGAAGCCGCCTCCCCCTCCCTCCGGCCCTGAGTGATCATGGACACACTTCACCGCCAGATCCCCAACTCTCAACCCTCATCTCAATGTGGTGCTCACACACCGTAACCATGACTGGTCCACTATCAGCGTAATACCCCTCTAGTATGGTAGTCTCACACCTCACACACCTGTCTTTTTAACACAGAGATATACTAGTATTATCCCCTGTCCTCCGATCCTAGAATAGCTGTCTCAAGTTACCATGGAGACAAGAGTAGTACTATCAACCTGCTATATAGAGGGAGACATTCTTATTTACTTTGATCTATTATGTTTTAATTTAAGGGCAGTATATCACTGGGGACCTGCTCAGTGTGTGGGAGAGCGATTATTCGTTTGTGTGTGTGTGTACATTGATGTGTGAATGACAAACACCCTTACCTCACCTTCCACACAGTCCAACCACACATCTACTTAATGTCCTCCAATCATCAGTCAACTCTTTTCTTTTTGCCTTTTTCTCTGTTGCCCGAGACCTTGTTAAAAAGGGAGGGGTTTTTATATTTCTGTGCCCGTATTCAGCTTTTATTCTTTCTAAATACTGACTTGTTCCCCTGAATTTAAGTCTGCTACTCTTAAAAGTCAGGAGAAAATCCACGTGTGTTTGAATTATGAGCAGTCCTGCACAATTCAGTCACAACAGCCACACTGCCTCTATTCACTCCACTGTCTAACATGCTCAGAAAAATACACTACTAGTCTCTCAGGATGAATGAATTAGTTTGCTCTTGAATAAGTGATGCAGACAGAAAAATAATATGACATTGTAGGGAAAAGTTTGTGGCCTGCTGTCAAAAAGGGAGCACAGTAAACACTGGAGTCACAGAAGATTACTGTACACATTATAACCTGCTGTACAGTCGCCTTTCAGGCGTTTTTTAAGTGTTTTGTCTGCCACTTTTTCAGCTCACACACCTGACACTTACAACCCCTGCTGCTTTAGTTATTTGGAACAGTCCACAGGGGTTCTTATTGCTGGACTGGATCAGCCAACTCATGCTGACATTGGCCTGGGACCATGTTATTAAGACTAACAAAAAGGAAAGGGCAATGTTACTGGCTCTCTGTGTATCAACTGTGTGTGTGTTTGTGTGTGTTTGTGTGTGTTTTTGTGTCTAACTGGGCCGTTAGAAGATATTCCCTCATCCGTTACCGCACACACACAAACACACACATGAAAGTACGCACATTACCCCGGGGCATCCTGACTGAAAAAAAGAAGAAGAATATTACAAAACATGGAGAAGAGTGAACTAGCTTGTCATGTGAGGGAATAGTTATCTCATTATTCCTAATAATTCCCTGTCACAGGACACTTCATCAGCTCTAATCCTGCAAAATCCGCCGAAGATAATCCCTGACAGGTTGTCTGATATTTTGTCTTTCATCTATCGCACATTTTTTTTCCTCTCTCACCTTTCATTAGTTTCAACTTTAAGAGTGTATGGATGGGAGTTTTGAGTGTGTGTGTGCCTGTGTGAGCGTGCATATCAACGTCTGTATGTGTACCTGTGACAAATCAGAACCAACTCAAGGCCAGAAATGCTGTGAACCATCTCAGTATGAGTAGTACAGACTCTACTGGATATCTTTAATGTATTCTCTCTCAAGGTTCTTAAACTATCTCCATACCCCCTTCTCCTCTTGAATGTTTTAACTTCTTAGTCTTTAATGGTGGAGATCGGGCGTGTTCAGGGTGGTATGGCCGTAAGCATCTCAGTTATTTTTCTCAGTTAAAGATGACTTTAAAGCTCCTGTAAAGAACTTCAGGTTTGGGTCAATTCTGGCGCCCCCCTACAGACGAATCGCCACTTCTTATCTCTTTGCTGATTCTGTCAAATACATGTGTAAGTAAGGTTTTGAAAAAAAAACCTCTCATCTTGCCTGCTGTAACAGTCAAAATTGGGGAAAAGGCTATTTCTGCAGCTTGCTGTAAATGCTTTAATTTGACACCTATCCGAGAACAGAAGTTCAAGAAGAAGTCATTCTTCTTCTTAATGGTCTTGTTGGCTTTTTTCACTCTTATTCATTAATATTAGATTGAGTCTATTTCATTAACAGTTCAAAACAGGAGCTTTAAGGTAATAATTAATTAGGTCAATTATATTCATATTGTGTGCTATCTAATAATTAATTTGACCTTTAGTGCAAGCATTAACATTCGTAAGAAAAGCACCTTGTAATTAGTGTAGAGTATGTCACTGGCTTTATGATTGAAACCACTAACAGTTTTTGTCCTGGGAAGAAAATGAATTTCATTACAAACTCCAGCAATCTAAAGTATTCATGTTTAATAATCTAGTCCGCATGCACCTTTAACCTGTAACCTGATATACTGTGCTGTATATAAAACAAACATGGAGGCATGGAGAAGAAACAGACCCATGTTATGGGTTCCTCCTGCTGGGTCAATGACCCATTAAAGCTGTCAGAAACATCCGAATATACAAAAAAAAAAAAAACACACACACACATATAAATGTGATGATTCACCGCATCAGCCACCGTCAACGATCTGCAGGCAGGTCATGGTGTTGACATTCATAAAGCCCCCGTCTTGAACATTATGCTGAAGCAGAAAATCGTATTTTTGACCACAAAGGACACTCAAAACGGTCTTCTATTTCTGATAATTCCTCATCCTCCGTTTTGGCCTGTCAGCGCTAAATTTCTGCTTTGTCAGTGTGGGTTGTTTCATCAGTCTGTGTCGCTTTGTTTTCTGTTCTGTTTTATAATGAGCCCCTCTCCTTCCGCAGACATGCACTTGCCTGCCTGTGCTGTCTGAAATCAGAGTCTAGTGGAGTACAAGGAGACATGCTGGTTTACGAGACTGAATCTAGTATGCAGTCTAAAGTTGAACAGTGAGGGAGGGACGAGAGAGTCAAGCCGTCTTACTCATCCTTACTATATGTGGGCAACCTGTGTGGGCACTTCTCCCTCCTGCCACATAAAGCCTCTTGACTCGTGTTCTTACAGTTCTGATGGCTACATGCCAAAGACAGGCTTTACTTCAACTACTTCTGAGAATATTTCTGACGACCAAGTAACATTTTGGAAAATCTCCATGCCTTTGTTAGCCCCTGGAGCAAAGAATAACCTCAAACACCACACTGAATCAGGAATGTGCCCGTTATTACGCCTATTTGAAGTATTAAGATGTTAACCCTGAAAATATTGTATTTCTTCGCCAATGACTGGGCACAGATAACCAAAAGTGAAGCATTGAAGAACTAATTTCATAAAGTATATCTCGTTAGTGTAGAGCCCATCTCAAGTATCAAAACCTCTTTTGTATTTGCATGGCACTCGAGGTCCCCCTCATTGGTCTTCCAGGAGAGTATTGTTGAGCGATACTGTAGCTGGTATGAGGTGAGGTGATACATGACACAAAGGAAGAGTCCTTTTCCATCCTGCCTGTAAAGTTAGCTGTCATCCTGCCCCCCCCCCACCCCACCCCCACCTCACAGATGGCAGGCCAGCAGGCGCATCACTTTACCTCAGCCTGTCAACAGCACTGTTGTTCTGAGCTTTGTGCGTGCAGACAAAAGGGGACCTGAGAGAGCCGAGGGAGGCTGCTATAGTCTGGCCTGAGCTGTGAATAATGAGCTGGATCCACTAGCTGTTATGGTAGAGAGAAGGAGTCTGCACTTTTTGTTCCATTTTTACATTTTCTCTCTCTTTCTTTTTGTGTCATGTGATCTTTAATTTGAAACCATTGCTGTTGATGTGCGACATTCACAACACAGAGCTCTAATTTCTTTTGTACTCATGCATGGCAAGAAGTTGTCCACTATAAACAGCTGGTGTCTTTTTATTGGCTGCCATTGACAGTCCTCCGACATCAGTATGAGCCTGTGAGAAGTCTGTAGTAATAATGCTGTCTTCTCTTTGACATACGAACCAAAACTGCACTTTTCCACACCCAGAGTAAGGCCAGTCAATCTCTCTTTTAAGCCAGTGGCTGAAGGGTTTCAAATAAAAATCATCAGGTGTACTGTTTCCTTTTAAGTATATAAGCTCCATTTTCCTGAACTCTTTGCATTTCTTTCTAAAGAAAAAAAAACTGAAGTGAATGTTCCATTGTTGAGGTTTTAAGCAGAAGAAAATGTTGCATCAACGCTTGAGAGAATCAGCATTTTTCTTTGAAAGGCATTATTGCCCTTGAAGTGTTACAAGCATTTACGTATCAATCTTTTTTTTTTTAAGTGTTTTTATTTTTATTTGCAAAAAAGTCGCTGTAGATCTTGCCTGTCAACATGACAAAAAGCTGGGTTTGTTATCAAGATTACTTTGACTTCTTTGTTTTCCCATCACAATCCATCGTTTTATGAACAAACTTTCTTTCTTTTATTTTTTACAAAAGATAGAAATCTTTTTTTACAAAAGATAGAAAGATAAACATACCTTGTTAGATTTTCACTTTATGATTCATTTCCTTAACGACTGTAGAGATGAACTAGTTTTATTTGCTGTAGTGAAACTGCTATGAATGTGAATATCTATTGGAGAAATAAATGCAATTGCAATGCAACTTTAACATGACATGCTTCTGTCTTTTGTTTTTGTTTGTTTGTTTCCATAAATCAAATGTGAGTTTCTGAAAAATGTCATATGATATCCCTAACTGTTGAATGTTTCTACAGAAGCTGTATGCCCTCCGCAGCTAAAAGAGCCATTAAAGGCAGAAAGGACTGGAGGACAACAGAGCACTCTGTTCTAGTAACTGCATGCTGCACTCTATTGTTGGTTGAAAAGATGCTTTCAGCAGGCCCTTTGGAAACTCACACAGACTGTTAACAATGTTTTCTGTTGCATCTCACATTCACTTAGCCTTTTTTTTTTAATCCCTTAATTTATTAATAAATACACACACACATTACATCTGTATTCCTGCAGGAGTCGTGCCAGTTCTCTCCAAATGCATCTCATTCATTCACAGCCAAGGTCTCACCACCAAAGAACTCCAGTCTTCGAAGAAAATGAAGCAAAATCTATCACGACTTTTACAGAAACAGGCTTGGGGAGAATTCCAAACAATAAAATAAATTGCGCTGAATCTCTGAATAAATGTGAAGGACTTTCCAGTTATCTCATTACACAAAATATTGCTCCATTCATGTTTTTTTTTTGTTCATTGTAGAACAGCGGAACAGGTTGTCATCCTGTTTGTTTTCTGTAGATTTATTCATGAAAATAAATTGTGATGAAACAGAGAAGCTTTCCTTAAGTTTCCTATTTGGTGCAGCAGCCTTTGTCAAACACCTAGATTGATTATTCAGGCCTCCGATTCAAACTACTTCCCACTTATTGTGATTTGACTAAAGCAGAGCGGAACTGGAAGGTTCCAGTGACGTCAGTTCAAAACCTGGTAACCTGACACTGCTTGTACCCTGATGGCTCCATAGAAATGAAGTTTGTGAGAGGCAGCATGGTGACGTCAGCTTGGAGCGGGGTCATACTGACTATTCTGCAGCCCCACCAGACCACGCTCGTTCTCTCAGAGGCGATGTCTTTACAAGGGCTGTCAGGCCACTTTAACCCGAGGGGAAGCCGTCACACAGTGCTGTCAGAAAGTATAAGGACACTTTGTTTTGAGTGTTTACACTGCACCACTTGCTTAAAAGAACTTGAAGTGTCCGACTTTATACATTGACAACACATTTCTAACAATAAATTTAGACAGTGATCATAGACATATAGAGTGGGAACTATTTTTAACACCTGACTGGTCATGCTGATCACTTGGCTGAAATCCAACTCAGCATGGTCTTCAAAGCTGTTTGTTGAGGATCAGAGTGAATGCCAAAAACCCCTTCAAACCATCAGTGTAAAAGTCTGCAGTTCAGGTCTGGAAAAAAGCCTCAGCATGGAATTAAAAATGTGTCTCCTGACATCTGTGAGGTTTAAACGATCACAGAATTTAAAGAATTAGCAACTAAACATTTATTAAGACAATGCTCTGCTGTCTCACATTGCGATGCTTATAAAAGTAGTGCAGTTATACACACATCAAGTGCAGGGCAGTAAAAACACAGCAGAATGAGGAAGAAGATATGCCCACACACTTGCTCAAATAAAAACCTTTTGTGGCAAGTCTGCGGGCATGTCATCTTCCTGAATCAAACGTTGTGAGACCCCCATCTTTTAACTGGTTACAAAGGTGACAACTGCTACACATCTCAACAAGGGAAGTTTAATACTGTATGTTTGCAAAGTCAGCACGGAGCCCACACTGTATCATTTCAAATTATATAACCAGTTGAACAAAAATATGTGTCACTTTCCTTGTGATTTCTGCACAGAGGCAAGTTTGAAGTTGAAATCTTTTCAATTTTGATATGTATTCAGAGGCATGTGTGCATTTCTGTTTTTGATAATCCAGTGTAATATACCAGGACAGCAAAAGTGAGAAAAGTATGACATACGTTAAGAGCAGTTGACCTTTAACACTGATGCTGTTCAGGTTCGCAAACACTATCGAGACGGCTCAAGGGGAAGTAAGATTTTGATTCCAGTAGTTGTATAGTCAGCAGTGTGCTCGACACTGTCCTCAAACCAGCCCCAAACTCTAGAACTGTTTCTTCAAAGGAGCTATAAGGATAAACTGTAGGTCAAAGTTAACTGTAACATTACTGGACTTCTGTTGTGGATTTAATCTGCAGACTCCAACTCCATTCATTTGACCGTAAACAGCAAACACAGAGACACACAAGAACCCTGCTAAAGTAGTCAAATTCCTTCACAAGGAAAAAACAAACATTGGTAGCAAAGGGAGTTGAGGACAATCTCTCTGGCTTAGTGAGCTGACTAATGAGTCAAACTCTTCCCAACAACCCAAACATTTGCTCCTGGAGTAGTGTGTCGACACAAGGATTTGAGCAAGTCTGACCTCTTGTGGTCATTTGATGCATTACCAAAGTCAGAGGAACAGTAAAATAATGGAAATAGAACAGTTTGGGACCAGCATTTGGAAAGAGATCTTTACCGGTGAACATGGCCACTACACTCTCCTCCCCATTGTCATTGCCATAGATTGTGATATTGAGATCTACTTCATCTACTTTGGACAGGACTTCTTACCTGCCACATGATGTTTAATCACAAAGCTAGTCACCCCATTGTCCTGCAAAGCCTTCCACTTCAGCATTATACATTTCCCAGACAGCTTAAGTACTCTCCTTTCCCATCAACATCAAGCAAACTGACGATCAGAGAGAAAATATTTGGTATCAGAAGTTTAGTTTGTGTTAAAACATCGATAAATATCTTCCATCAGCTAAGCACTAGCAACGTGCTCTAGGCTGTCTTCTCTGCCATCATTCTCTAATCCTTCATCACCTATAATCCATCTTTGTACCAGTAGGGGATCTCTGGAGGTGGCTTAAGATCAACTTTAATTTTATTTGCAATTTATCTGTAGGCCTATTGGTTTTGGACGTAGATGTCATAACTTTTTTAAATGTCATTTTGATTTCAAAACAATTCTTAGCACACTATTTGTAAAGGAATAGAAAATGTCTAACTTTGGCGGCTCCTAGTGGTAATATCAGAAAATTCACCGTGTAGACTTAAATATGAGTCGGTTTCCACGACCATAGCATACAGCCTCTTCCTGAAACTCTCTGCCCCATTTCTACAGTTCCACAAATCATTGAGTAGAAGCTGTTGTCCAAAGCGACATACATCAAAGAGTTAGTACAACACAAGCAAGGATCCAGAGAGGAGGAAACAATGTCAAGTGCAATAAAACAGCTTTATGTCCAATCAGACACACACAGGTGCTGACAGGCAGCACAGAGCCAAAGCATGAAGTTGTTGTTGTTTTAAAAAAAATTAAAGTTGATATATCATTATCAACAACAACACCAGCATCTGTTCTTGAGAGTTCTAATTGGCATCAAACCATCTTAAATATCGTCATCATCATCAATTTCTAATTGCATATCTAGATATTAAAGAGACAAAGCACACAAAATATTTTGAACAGCTTCAGTCTCAGCCTCCTAAGTGTGAGAAAAATGCCTATAACTGAGATTTTAAAAATGCTGCAAGACATTTGATTTAAATGGTTAGTTGAGAGGTGGTCATGCAGATCATTGATCGTTTTTTGTCTATGTGAGGCTTCTTTGTACACATACTATTGAAGGAATGCAAATATTTGGTCAAAATCACAAGTATTGGGAAACTGATACCATGTAAACCTGGTAATAGCCAAAATGAAGTGAAATAGAAGTTTTAATTCATCTAGAGTCTGACGTGAATGTCTGTACTACTTCATGGTTATCATCAGTTGTGTAGTGGTGCCTGAAGAAGTGGGTATACTCTGAATTTTTCCCTAAGTGTTTTTTTAAGTGGTCTGTCCAGCAGAGGATAAACGGCCTCTGTTACAAACAGTGACCTGCATACATATGTTAGTGTGTGGTGTAGCCAATTAAAAACAGATTAGGGAGGGTAATCCCTTCACCATCCTAAGAAAATAACTGCAGCATACTACTGAATATTGTCAATCAATCAATCAATGATGATTTAGAAGTGGCTATACCCTGGAGACTGAAAACTAAGTGGGTATACTCCATATACCTGCGTATACCGTGGACTACACCACTGGTTATCCTCCAGACATCTCGGTTTTTCAACCATTAAAGTCAATAGAACACTTACACTTATTTGTCCGCTGGATGGATGAGCTACAGTAATTTGCAGAAGAAGGTTGCATTTGTGTACTTGAAAGAGGAATCCAACCTTTTCATCTCATCTCATCTCTCACTTCCTCTCCACTCTTGAGCAACACTGAGTCCACATTTTCAGAAAAGAAAACACGGCTTGCCTGTAGGACACTGCACATCAGACACATCGCTCTTTACTGAAGCAAAATTCTTTATTCTGTGTGCAACACAAAAAAGGTTTGTTAAGGGTTGTGTTCATCAGTTAGTAGTGTGTCCAATATGCACAAGAGATTTGCTTATGCTGAAAGAAAAACATCGTCACACCCATCTTTAAACAGTGAATGTGCTTTATAAGTCCTCCCACTTTTCTCTCCTCTGCACACGGACGTTCTTTAAGTGGCTGGTAAACCTGAAGGAAATCCCGGGATAAAAGTAAAATAGACTAAGAATTAAAAGAAGAGAGTCACTTTAGGGTTTATTTGGCCTTTAACAGCAGGCTTGCCTGTTTTTCTCTGTACTTCAAAGACACATAGCATAGCAGGAATATCTACCCATATACTTTGTAATAAAAAACATCCAGTAGACCTTTGTCAAAGAAATGCAGTAAAGGAAGAACAAAGATATATAGCCTACTTACAGGAAACTGTAATTAACACAACCTTAATGACTTTGCTTCTGTTCCTGCCTCCCCAGAGGACAGCCACATGTCCTTGTGAAGATATTTACATGCCCCAGCTTAAACCTTGAGCAAGTAAGCATCTTGTTAGACAGAGTCCCAATAAATGAGCTTGTTGTGAGGATGAGGGATTTGTTTGGATTACTATCAACTAAGCAATATAAGGGAAGGATTTATTATGCTATACCTATACGT